CAGCCTGCCGAGAGCCCGGTATCCGGAGGAGGACCGGCCGAGCCCGCTGAGGGCCTGGTATCCGGAGGAGGACCGGCCGAGCCTGCCGAGAGCCCGGTATCCTGAGGAGCGGTCGGAGCTTCCCCCCGCCGAGGGCCCAGAGGGAGCGACAAACCTACCCGGTGCTCGGGGCCCGGAGGAGCCCATGATCTGCGACCCAGCAGACGGAACTCAGGAGGAACAGGTACCCATGGAGGAGGAGATGGGAAGTGGCCCGGGGATAGCAGACCCCGAACCCATGTCAGTGTGTTGCGGTCAGGATCCCCACTGACTGCGCGGCAGACGGACTGCTGCGGATAGGGCCCTGGGCTGGAACACAGTGGAGTGGGTGGGCCTGTGTTCCCCCCTGCCACCCCGTGCCGGGTGGCAGTCTCTCCTCCTCCTTGTCCAAGGGGCCTGGGCCTCTGACTGACGATTGGTTTGCTGCCCCGCCCTGACCTAGGGCCGGGGCTGGTACTTGTGTGCTCACTCCCTGCATAAGGGCCTGAACCTTAAACTGTTATTCGCTTTGTAGCGGGGCGGCCTGGCTCCCCGGCGCCCCTGAAAGGGACGAGCCCCACCCCGGAACTACTACAGGGACATACCGCTACTTCTGGGCGCTGCGTGAAGCCACGGCAGGCAGGGAACCTGCCTTAGCCCCGCTGTGCCGCCAAGTGGACTGTTAACGGCCTGGTCAGCGGTGCTGCCCGGAGCCGCCAGGGTCCCTTTTCGACCAGGCCTGTCGAAAACTGGACACCTGGCAACCGTAGTGCCAGCCACTAGACCCTGCCCTCCCCCTGCTGCTGTGTCGGGCCCCAGATCACTCCTGCAGATTGCACGTAAAACAGAGGTTTATTAGCCAACTGCAAACCCCAACCCTAACTTTGGTCCCTGTCCCCCATGTCCCCAGCACGCTCCGCACCGGCCCCCTCTCTGCTGCCTCCCTGTCCCCACAGGGCTCTCCTCCTCTCCAGGCTGCGCTGCCAGGCGTACAGGCCATGCCGTAGGCCTAGCTTTTTCTCAAGGATGAGCCCGATGACGACCATCCGCTCGTCCAGCTGGTTTGAGATGAAGGCTGCTGCCGTGCACGCGTCCAGGACGACGCAGCTCTGCCCCCACCCAGCCCCCTGCTGCCGTGGGTCTGCCGCCTTGAGAGACGCGACTCCTTCGCCTCCTTCTCCCCTGGTCACCCTGCCCCTCCGCCTGTCTCCTCGCCTGGCACTGGGGGAGGCCGCCCCAGATCCCTGGGGAGCCCCATTCCCGGGCAGCCCCCTGGTCCGAGCGGCTGCGGCTGGCTCCTTTCTCCCAGCACCGTCCATCTTCTCCCCGCCGCAACACAGCTGGCATCTCGTGACCAGTGCCCGCATGTGGACTTCACCATTGAAGGTTACGCTCTTGGGGGACGGGGCGAGTTTCCGAGGGGGCGGGGGGGCTCCGCGCGGTGCAGCCACCGACCCGTCGACCCGTCCTCTCTTCCCCACCGATGCCCTGGAGGTGACGCGTTTGAGGAAGGCCAGCATGAGTCCCCTGAAGGCGGGGCCCTTCCCCTTGCAGGGGACGGACGGTGACTCGGCCCCTCTCCCTGGAGGTGGACAGGGCAGGGGGCTGAGTCCCTCCTCACCGGCGGTGAAGAGGCTGCGGCACGTCTCACACAGGTACTGGGTTGCCAGGCTCTGGGACTCTCTGGTCAGTCTCTGGCCCAAGGAGCCAGCTGTCGGGAATCCCGGCTCTCCTGTGCCCGCGGGGAGGGCTCTTTCTCCCAGCTGGCTTTTCCGGCCCCTCCTATGCTGCAGCCGCATGTTCATTTCCCGCCCGTGTTCCTGGGCAGCGGCTCTCAGCCGCTCAGCTGCCATGTGGGCACAGACGGCCTGGGAGCGTATGACACAGGGCGGCAGGAGGAAGGAAGCCGGAGTCTTCTGCGCCAGCCAGTACAGCCGGTGTGCCGCGGCCCGCGGAGGAGCAAGATGCACCCCTGCCAGCCTGGGCTCCTCGGGCGCTGGGCGAGAGGCTGTGCGAGCGCTTTCTCCCGCAGAGGCCCTGGACTCGCTGCCCTCCAGAGACGACAGAGAGGAGGCAGACGGTTCATCTTTCGCCGCGCTGGGAGCTGCCGCGTCTCCTAGGAGAGTTACTGACCCCCTTACACAGAGACGCTGTGTCTGCCCCACAGGAGAGCTGGCCCCCCGAGAGCGGGCACCGTCCCGCCCCTCTAGCTGGCAGCACGGGCAGTCTGGGCACGTGCAATGGTCCATGTCCAGGTGGCCCAGGATTTCCAGAGACAGAGGCTGCTTCCCCGCTGGGCCATGGCGGCTGCAGCTCTGGGCCATTCTCCTGAAGCTGGATTCTGGCTCCCGCGAGATCCTCTTCTCACGCCAAAGGGCTGTCTCCACGGACGAGCTCCGGGAGCGCCTGCCGGTCCCCGCCAGCCGCGGGGCTCCTTCGCCATCGTGGGTCCTCCACCGCCCGGGCCTTTCCTCAGAGCTCTGCTCTCTCTGCTGTGGGGCAGGCTCATGGGCCACCGGGCGCAAGGCCTGTCTCTGGGACTCCTGGGCCCTGTGGGAAATTCCCAGCACCTTCTTCCCGGGAAAGTCCAGGGTGGATTTCAGCTCTGCCTTGTCCTCCGGGAAGCGGCGTGGGGAGTCGGGGGGCCCTTCCCCATCACGCGTCTGGGAGGTCTCCTGGCTTCTCCTGCTGCTGCTCCCCAGGGCGTGTTGGGGCACTGCCTCGGGGCAGCTGGCTTTGCCCTCCTTTACCCCCATTTCGTGCCAGTGCTGGGAGCGGTGGGTGACGGGCTCCCCGGGGCCTGGCTGGAGCTCTCCCGATTGCCCCGTGGAGAGGGCTGTAGGACCTTGGGGGGGTGTATGGCAGACATGGAGCAGGGGCTGGGTTTGGCCTCTGGGCTCTGCTCCCGCTGGGGCAGGCGGCAGGAACATCCGTAAGGACTCCAGGATCCTCTGGGGCAGGCCCCATCTCCGCTCCAGGGCCAGTTTCCTCACGTGCGACTCCAGGCGCTCCCTGGTTTCCGTGCGCAGGAAGTGCAGGCTGCCCGTGGCGACGCTCTCTCTGGCTGGGGCCTGGCCCCGCCTCGGGAGCCCCCTCCCAGGTGGCGGGGGTGTGAACGCGCCCAGCGATCTCTGCACCACGCGCGGTAAGCCCCACTCGCGCTGGAGCTTCTGCCTCAGGATGTGGCGCTCCAGACGGTCCCTGGCCTCGGCTGTGACCAGAGGCGGCCCCGGGTGGGGCACCAGCAGCTCGACTGTGCTGGCTTCTGTCAGGGGAACCGGCTCCTCGTAGCCGTTCCACTCCGGCTCCTCGGCCCCCACGCGTCCAGCCAGGCCCATCTGCGTCCAGGCCCTCCCCGCTGCGCTCCCCAGCGGCACAGCCGGAGCCTTCGGCATCATCCTCGGCAGAGACGCCGCCTGCGGCGTGGGCAGCCCCCAGAAATGCACCAGCTGCTTGTGTCTCACGTTCATGTCCAGCGTATCCGTAGCCGTGGGCGGCAGGCAGAGCAGGGAGCCGGCCCTGGGCTTGGGGGGCTTCTGGCCTGCACAGATCAGCCTGGGGAGGTGTATCCTCTCCCCCTCCCTGGCCACTCTCTGGGATCTCTCCACCAGGGCCGGCCTCACCCCCACCCTGATCTCTAGGCACTTCCTCGCGAGGTGCCACTGGAGCTTGTCCCTCCGCTCAGCAGCAAGGCCATGGGTTCTGCTGTCTGCTGCCAAGCGGCTCCCTGCGGGGACGTCTGGCTGGCTGGGCCCCAGCCGGCTTTGCCCGACGCCCCTTTCCCCACCGGCCCCACGAAGCTGCGGGCCTGCCGGCGGGGCAAAAGCAGCAAACAGCCTCAAGGATTCCTGGATCCTGCTGGGCATCCCCCATCTCTTCAGATGCACCAGCCTTTGCAGATGTCGCTCCAGCTCCGCCCTGAAGCCAACGCTCAGGAAGGGCAGGGCCTGTGGCACTGTCACCACCCTGCCTGCCCCCGAGGGTCTGCGGGCGGTGAGTTTCGGTGCTGGGGGCATGAAGATCTTCAGAGCTCTCTGCAGGGTGCAGGGCAGCCCCAGGGCGTGCTGCAGCCTCTTCACCTGGACGTGCCGCTCGAGAATCGCCCTGACGTCGCTCTGGAGGAAGGGGGTCTCCGCTTCGGCCAATTCGATCCTGCTGGGCACACGCAGGGCTCCAGGGCTGCCCCGCGCCGGGGATCTCCCAGCCAGAGACGTCAGAGCTTCCCCCGCGGCCCTGGGCACTGCGCTCTCTCGGTCTTGTTGCCATTTGGCCTCCCGCCCTGACATCCTGGCCCCACCGGGGGACTTGGCCAGAAACGGCATCCAATCGGGGTGATGCGCCTGCCTCTGGTGAGCGGCCTGGGGACTCCTTGCTCTGCCTCTGCGCAGGAAACTCCCTCCCCAGCCATGTTCCCCTTGGCTTGGAAGGAAGGGCTCCTGCACGGCAGGAGAGGGGCCGGGGTACTCCTCATGCCTGGGAAGAAACATCGCGTGCTGGCTCGATCCAGTTCTCCGCTCCCAAGCGAGTAGGGGCGGCTCGTGCTGGAGAGAAGAGGAGCTCTGAGCTAGCCCCCAGCTGCGCAGGAACAGCTCCTGCTGGCCGGACAAGGAGCTCTGGGCCTGCTCTTGCCCACGCAGGAGAGTCTCGTGCCAGAGAGCGGAGCAGCAGACACATTCCTCCTGCTCCCTGGAGGAGCCTTGGGCCTCCTGTGGGTGGGGCAGTCCCTCCTCATGCTGCCCTGGCGGGCGGCACTCCGTTTGCCGGCTGCCTGCCTGGTGGATGGAGCGGTTCCCGTGGGCTCGGCGAGCACGGCTTGGGGGGTCCCGGCCCAGCCGCTCACGCGGCTGCTTCCCCCGCTCCTTCTTTGCACCTAGAACAGAACAGCAGAGAGGGCTTCTGAGGAGAGACGGGGCCTGAACGTAGTGGGGGCCACGGGCACCCAAACCGTGACCCCGCCCACCCGTACCGCCCCAACCCCGAATCCCAACTCCCGCCCTGCCCCTAACCCCGAGGCCCCGCCCCATGCCCGCCCTCCTGTGACCCATTCCCCCCCGAGGCCTCGCCCCCACACCAAGCCCCGCTCCTCCGCCCCTGCTTCCCTCCAAGACCCTTCTTCTCTGCACCCCCGGCCTCCCGTTGCTCACCCTTACAGCCAGTCAAAGGTCAGAGGGCATGGCCCCCCGGCCCCCTCATTCCAGTGCCCTGGCCCCAGGCCGCTCTGCGCTGCTGGTCCAGGACCTGGCACGCTGAGCTTATGAGAGCTCAGGGCCCGATGAAACACTCCGCCAGCACCATGCCGGGCCCCCTATCAGACACTGCCAGGGCTGTGAACCTGGCCAGGGTGAAGTCCCAGCACCGTGAACCCGGCCAGGGCATCGTGCCAGGGCTGTGAACCCGGCCAGGGCATCGTGCCAGGGCTGTGAACCCGGCCGGTGCGCTGTCCCCGTACCAGAAACCCAGACGGTGCCTCACCCTGGTGCAAATAACCCAGCGGTGCCCCATCCTGCAGAAATGGGTCTCGCCCGTGTGCGGGATCCCAGGAAAACTCTCTGGCAAATGCCAGGGGCTGGCAGCACCTAGCAGCCTTGGCCTTGCAAGCCCTGGTACGATGCACAGCAAGGGAGTGCCAGGGGGCTGCTCCCCGATCCAAGCCAGAGCAGACGGGGTGAAAGAAAGACAAGATCTGCTGGGCAGTGCGCAGTGCCTCCTGCGGGCAAAGCTGCCCTGTTCTGGAGGGTCCTGGGAAGGGCAGGTAGCCCCCCCCGATGCTCACCATTAGCCTGCACAAAGCCCTGGAGGACAAGGGGACAACCTGCCAGAGGGGACAGACAATCGGGTGTTTGCCTCCATCGCGGCAAAGCCCCCAGACGACAGTTCGTTAGCACCACGTCAGCTTATCCCGGCTCCAGTCAGCACCTTGGCTCCCGCTCCCATCCCCAGGGGCAGGCCAAGCCTGGGGGGCCTCGTGTGGGACCCCTGGGCCAGGGTGGAGGGCTTGGGAGAGGCCCTGGGATTCTGAGCCCGGGAGCCGGCAGGGAGCGTGAGGCAGGGCCTTACCTTCTCCCTTGCCCTCCGTCCCCCTCCGCCGGAGCCTGCTGACCCGAAGAGCCTGCGGGAGCCAGGGAAGCGGCAGAGTTACGTGGTACCCAGACTGAGGCCGTGCAGTGCCAGCCTCCCACCCAGCCCAGCCCGGTGCCAGGGGTTCCCGCGCTTCCCTCTGTCACGGAGTCCCCGGGCAATGCTCTGGAACTGCTCCCCACAAAGCCAGTCAGGACTTTGGGGAGCCTCCTCTCCCATGGAGCAGACTGTCTTCAGGGCAAGAAGCTCACACGGCTTCACCTCCTGGGTCTCTCCTGGGAGCATTCAGCATATGTCCCTCCGTGCGCTTCCCACAGCGAGTCCGTCCCGGTGGGGTCCTGGAGAAGCCACAGGGTCCTGCACCCCCACTTCGCAGTCAGACATGACTCTCAGCCAGCCAGTAACACAGAGGTTTCTTAGATGACAGGAACACGGTCTAAAACAGAGCTTGTAGGTACAGCGGCGAACGGGACCCCTCTGCCGGGTTCATTATGGGGTTCAGAGAGCCAGACAACCCCGTCTGCCTCCCTCCCCATCCCCAGCTAGCTCCAGCTGAAATCCCCCTGCAGCCCCTCCTTCTCTGGGCTTTGTCTCTCCCCTCCCCAGCCCGCCACCTCCCCCAGGAGGTCACCTGATCTCTTTGTTCACCTTTAGCTATTTCCTTGCAGGGGGGGAAGGGGCCCTGGCCATTTGTTGCCAGGGAGACAGAGTGTCAGTGATTTATGCACACTGGCCTTTCCCCACCACCTAGAGACTTAAGAAATGCATAGGGGAAACTGAGGCACACACACAGTATTCAGAGGAAACATTAAGAACAGTCCCACTTCGTCACACCCTCCACCTCCTGCCTGGAGCCGAAACGGCATCAGCCGCACAGTAACCCGGGGGGAGGGGCAGCAGGTTCCTCCTTCGCTGTCCGTGGGCCCTGGGTCTGACCCTTGCGGGGGGTGATTTCTGCCCCCGGTGTTCTGAGTCGAATGGGGACTAGGCCCTTGGGCTTCGCAATGTGCTCTGACTTCCCTCCCCGGCTCGCCTGGTTCCCACCTGCGACCCAGCTCCCCAACTGATCTGGGATGGAGGCAGGACTCTGCCCGCCCAAGGCAGGATCCCCAACTGACCACAGCCAACGGCTGTCCAAAGATCTGTCCCGGCTTCCCCCTTCCTCCCCCTACCCCCCCTTGCCTGTCCTCTCCCTGGCCGGCTGGGAGGCCAGGGACCCAGGAAAGCTTGTGGCTTTGGGAGGGAGCTGGGAGGGTTTGTTGGTCAGCTTCCCCGCGCGTAAGGGAATAACTGGCCAGAGCCGGCTCAGTGCCGGGGTGCCAGGGAACCAGGAGGGAGAGCCCTGGCATTTCTAGCACTAGCTGGGGTGGTCGGGGCAGTAAGGAACAACCCATGAATGGAGCCACGAGCTCGGTCTGTGGCCCTGTCTCTCTCTGTGGATGTGTCCTGCCAGCCCAATGGGGCCTGGTCAGAACAGGGGGCCTCGGGCGCTCCCATCCACCCACCCTTCCATGGGGCTGTGTCCAGGCAAGCTCTGCTGAGAGTGTAGGATGGCTGCAGAGGGGTTGGGGGGGTGTGTCCTCCTACCTTCCTGCTTCTCCTGGAGAAACTGTGCTGGGTCGCCATGGCCATCCGGATGACCAGGACCAGAAGGACGCAGGTGTCCAACACCCAGGGGCTGTCCCAGCAGGCCCAGAACCAGCTCTGTGTGATCCCCATCCTCGTGCTGGGGAGGACGGTCTGGACACTGGGCTCCCGGCTGGTGCTGCCACTGGATCTCTCCCGAGAGGCTGTTTGTTCCAGTGACGCATCATAAAGGGCCAGGACCAGGCGGGTCCCGACATCACAAAGGGACTGCACGCATCAGAGGTGAGCAAGATCCTCAGCTCCCTACAGCCCCTCCCCAGTGTTACGGGGCTTATGTTTTTACCCTTTTACTGTCCTGGTTCTTCTCGCATGAACAGAGCAACAATACCCGAAGTTCAAAGGCGCAAACAATTTGATGTTTATTGGGGTAAACTTTTAGCGAGCATCATTTTAGTTGCCGTTCTATTTTCAGGTACCATGGTAGCTGTTACACAGGTGCTGGCCTCCGCGTTGAGCATTTTGCGTTTTCGTACACATTTTCCACCCCTGTCAGCCTTTTGAAGCCATCCCCCACCCACGTCATGCTAGCAGCGAGACAAACACCACAAAACCTAGATCCGTGGTATTCGGGGTTATTCTTTTTACCCCCCTTTGGTGGGGACATGTTATTGCTTAATAATAATACCAATTCCTTTTACAAATTTCCTTGCTAATTGCAGGAAAAACAGGAGAATTACCTTTCGGCTGTTCTTAGTTTGTTTTATAGTCAGGCTAGTGAATTACCCCACTCACTGGTCAGTTATGAAATTTACGAGGTGGCGTGCCTCAGTTTCCCCTCCTGTACAACAGACCAGGTTTGCAATAGTTTGTGCTGTACGAAGCTTTACGTTTATTTTCAGGTAATAGCTGAGAGACAGCTTCAGATTTCTGCTCCGTGCCCCCCACACCCGCGTTAGGGTTAACCTGTCCCCCTTCTTTTCAGGCTTGACTTGTTTTTTCACCTCCCTCTTCTGGAGGGGCCAGAATCGGAGTCTTCTAGTAGCTTGTTTGCTGATCCACTGGAACTTGCTGTAGAAAAAGTAGGATAAAATTGAGCAAGAAATGCTTCCCAGTGGTTATTAGGACTGGAATTGCTGTTTTCAACACTCATTGCCTTTGTTTGTTTGTTTAAAAGGAAGACAGTGATATTACACTGGCAAATTCCTCATAGAAAGAAAGAGGGAACAAAAGAATAATAAAGGCACCTCAACTTTTCCTCATTAATGTAGGACAGTCTTATAATCTGCATCCAGATATCCTCCAATCACACAAGCTGAAAATTGTTCCACTTTACTGCAGTGCTGTAACCATATGGGAACCAATCCTGTCTGTGTTCTGTGCACATCCAAAATTCCTGCTGAATGACCCACCCTGGGAGCGAGTTACCAGTGACCCAGGGCTGGGGCGGCAGGGGGTGCGGGTGGTGGGGGAGAGCCCAGGGCTGGGGCGGCAGGGGGGTGCGGGTGGTGGGGGAGAGCCCAGGGCTTGGGCGGCAGGGGGGTGCAGCGAGGAGCCCAGGGCTGGGACGGGGGGCAGCCAAAAAATTTTTTGCTTGGGGCGGCAAAAAACCTAGAGCCGGCCCTAGTTCTGGGCACCACTCTTTAGGAAAGAGGTGGCCAAATTGGAGACAGTCCAGAGGAGAGCAACAAACCAGGAAGAAGCTCATCTTCCTCTGTGTTCTCAGCACCGTGCACAAAGCCAGTCCAGTCCCTGTGTGCACCCTGCCCGGGTGGGGTTTTCTCTGCATTGCAGACCGCAATAGTCCCATCTTGTGGCCACAGTGAATAAACACAAGGTTCCAAAGGATAATCAGCATTGAAAGAAATCTCTCCTGAACCCCCTCTTCTGGCCCCCAGAGCCGTCCCTTGGGTATGGTGAATCGGGGCAACCGCTCCAGGCGCTGTGCTTTGAGGGGCCCTGTGCTTCAGTGTGTGTGAGTCATGAGGGGGGCACTAGGTCGGCCTGGGGGGGGGGGGGAGTTGGGGTGCCCAGGCCAGCCTGGGGCTGGGGTTAAGTGTTCAGGGGGGGCCAGGCCGGCCCGCGGGTTTAGCAGGGGCCTGGCGCCGGCAGTGGGGTCGGGCCCGCACTCACCGCTGGGAAATGGGCGTTGTATTTCTTTCTCTTACTCGCCCGCCGCTGCACCGACCGCCAGCGTCCTAGTGCCGCAGAACACGCCAGCACCTGACTCATAGGCGCCCACTCCGTGGGTGCTCCGGATTGGTGATTGTGGAGCACCCACTGGCAGCTCCCTGACCCCCCCCCCGAGCTCACCTCTGCCTCTGCTCCACCTCCTCCTCCTCCCCTGAGCGCGCCACCATGTCCTACTTCTCCCCCTCCCTCCCAGGTTTGCCACGCAGAACAGCTGTTTCGCAGCGCAAGCGCTGGGAGGGAGAGGGGAGGAAGAGGAACGCAGCACACTTGGGGAAGAGGCGGGGCTGCGGCAGGGATGTGGGGAAGGATTCAATAGGGGCAGGGAGGGGGAGGGGGTGGGGTGGGAGCAGGGCCAGGGTGCAAGCACACACCGGCGCCAACAAAAGTTGGCGCCTGTGGTCAGACTGACCCCATCCATTGCCCTTCCGCCCCAGACCCCTCCATTTCCAGGACCCCCTCGAAGCACACAGGTGCCACCCTGTGACTCTCCATCGTCCCTCGCCTCTCAGCACTGGTGTCCCCTCCTGTGACGGAGCCGGGAGCGGGGCGGATTCGACCTGGGAATGTTGCAGGGGGGTTACATTGGGGATGTGGGACTTCCCTTGAAGGAAGCTACCTGAGCTGTAACCTGAGCCAGGAGGGGGGTGGGGAGAATTAACACCTTCTGCCCGGGAGACTGAACAAAGGAGAGGAGGAGCTGGGGGGAGGGGGAAGAGAGGAGCTGCAGGAGGAGTTTTGGTTTGGTTTCAGTTTGGGCTGGGTGGTGCAACGCAGGGAACCCCGAGCTGGGCTCTAAGCTCCCTGAACCCCCCCGAAGGACTTGACTGAGGGGTTCTGGTTGTACCTACGCGCTCTGCTTGGGACTGTGTCCCTGTCATCTAATAACCCTTCTGTGTTACTGGCTGGCTGAGAGTCCCGGTGAATCCCAGGAAGAGGGGGGCAGGGCCCTGACTCCCCCACACTCCGTCACAACCTCCCCACACCAGATTTCACCTGTATAAAAACTATTAAGGGGGGCCCATACAGCCCGATTTGTCCCAGCCCCCCCACCCTCCTAGGGACAGCCCTGCTGGCCCCCAGCCCCTCCAAGCTCATCATCAGAAACAAGCTCCCCACAGACCCGGACCCACCTACTCAAAGCGGTGGTAGATCCTGCTAGAATAACAGATGGGGAGGGATAGCTTGGTGGTTTGAGCATTGGCCTGCTAAACCCAGGGTTGTGAGTTCAATCCTTGAGGGGGCCACTTGGGGATCTGGGGCAAAATCAGTACTTGGCCCTGCTAGTGAAGGCAGGAGGCTGGACATGATGACCTTTTGGGATCCCTTCCAGTTCTATGACACAGGTAGATCTCCATATATAATATAAAACCTGCAGCCCTCTCTCCACTACTACCATGATCAACACCCCCCACAACTTCCCTTTCAATACACCAGCCTGTCCCAACACATGGTGTACCTCATCCTGTGCACTAAGCGCCCCAATACCAGCTACCTACGTGGGTGAAACCAGACACTCACTCTGCTCTCGAATGACCTCGCACAGGAAAATGATAAAAGACAAAAACACCCTAGACCCTGTGGGCGAACACTTTTCACAAAGTAATCGCTCCATATCTGACCTCTCAGGCCTCATCCTCAACGAAATGGTCCCTTGAAACTTGTTAACTACTGTCACGGACT